ACAAACAACTGATGCTAAACACTAAATCTCTCAATGCTGCCAGACCTACAACAAAGTCCTATTCCCACCTTTCATCTGGGGGCCAAGAAAGACACAGTGTGGCACTGGCCCAAACTGGATTGAAAAAATGCTCAGTTTGTGTTGATTAAAGCTATGGTTTTGGGGGGAAATACCAAGTTTAATCCTAGCTTCCTTTCATTTCACATCTCACAGCCAGTCCTGACATCTGATTCTGTGCACTTGGCGTTGGTCTATGGTGTTTCCAGGGTCTCTGCAGCTTTTCAAAACACGGCCTTGTTTAATCTAATCATCCATGGGAGCACAGTCCCACGCAGATCAGCACAACCAGAGAACGCACTCTAACCACAGCAAAACGCGGGCAGCTATGCTGTTGTGTCTCAACCACTTCCTAGGTCTCCAGCCAAACATTTGGCTTCAGCTTTTTCAGTTGCCTGCTTTCAGCTGAGGAAGCATTTTGGAATCTTTCATGGTGAAGAGAGTCACTTAGCACATTTTATAATTAACTACCATAAAGCAAAGCTTCGGCAAGTTTGCAAATCATGGGTTTCATCAGTCTAAATAAAGTCAGATTGTCCCCCATGCTGTATTAGAAGCTGGCCCAACATCAATAAAATTATTATTTTGAGCAAGCATGTGTGCAGCAGGTGAAATCTTTATTATTACAAGCCGATAATAAAAGTTTGACAAGTTAAAAATATAAACTCAAAATATAAACTTACATTCACTTGGAACGTTCTCCAGTTCACATTTGGATTGTAAAATGTCTGTAACCACATTCCTGCCTCCACTCAAGGAACAGAGATGGGGACTGGGTTCTTGATGGTTTAAAGCAACTTTCATAAATGTTCTCAAAATTTAGTCAGTGTTTACATGCACATAACATCGACAGGAGGAAGGCAAAGACTTGTTGCCTATGGAGAGTCTAAGGTCATCAAAATTTACTTTCCAGAAGCCTGTATGGGCACCAGTTGATAGGTACCTCCAACATCTAGCTCTTTCTTAGAAAGAATTAGCAGGGAAAGAAAAGTATTCCAGTTAACATGCGGGGCATGAAAAGAGTCACTTTCCCAATTGTTCACTTAACCCACTTCTTTCTGACTTTAACACCATGGATAGAACAGGTGCCAGAAGGCACTTCAGGCTGGCCTCTTTATCTTTCCTGTTAATTCTCAATACAAACATGTTTCAGATGGAGGAGGGAAAAGAACAGAGAAAATTCTGATTCAAGTACAATGGCTTTGTGTTTTAAACCACTATGTATAAAAGAGGATGCAGTGGGGCACTCCATGAGAAAATTTAAGTCGGTTCATGAAAGTGTTATTCTGAACCAAATATATCCTTTAGAGCAGTGGTTCTCAACCTGTGGGTCGCGACCCCTTTGACGGTTGAACAACCCTTTCACAGGGGTCGCCTAAGACCATCCTGCATATCAGATATTTACATTACGATTCATAACAGTAGCAACATTACAGTTATGTAGTAGCAACGAAAATAATTTTATGGTTGGGGGTCACCACAACATGAGGAACTGTATTTAAAGGGCCAGAAGGTTGAGAACCACTGCTTTAGAGCTTATAGAAGAAATAAAAAAGAAAACATATGGAAACAGCCTGGACATTTTCTCCACAGCTTATGTTTTAAGCTAGTAACATATTCACAGTCTGTGTACATGAAGCAAACTGCACATTCTGAAATGGGCTCAAGGAAATTCAAAACACTCTAGAGAACCCGGGGATTCACAAGGTTTTTCATCACCAGACATAGCCCGTATCGTTAACCTCCAAATCTGGGAGGTAGTATATGTCTAATAAAAGGGAAGGGAGGAAATTACATGAGAAGGATGGAGTAGAATTAGAATCCAGAGCATGAATAGCTCGTTACATGGCCTCATGCAACAACCTAAAAATAAAGCACTGGAAACAGACCCAAAACACACTGGCTGCGGAGGGGCGACTGTAATCACATACAGATGATTAGGAAATATTTTGTAAGGTTATCTTCTCTAAGTTTTGTAAGGCTCAGACTTTATAACACATGTTCACAATTTTTTAGGCAAAAAGTGAAATTAAAGAATAATAAAGCAATTAGAAAATGAATGAAAGCCAGATCTCTTTATGAAATGGGAATTAAATCCATATTCCTCTATGCCCAGATCTTATATGTCTCAGATGGGGCCATATGTCGTGCAAAAAGGAAAATTAAGTAGGCAGAGTTTGATTGGAGAATGAATTATAGAGAAGTTTAAAGAAGTAAATAGAGGTGATTCAACCAAGAAATGAAAGGGGGGACGGACAGGTGTAGTCATATGTCAACAATTAGGTTTGATTTTTCACATAGAAACCCACATTTCTCCTACATCGTTGTCTTGTAAAACGATGTTCAATATTCTTGTCCCTTTAAGAAACGTTTTTATTGTACACATTTAGTTTTAATAAAACATCTGTTCTCATTGGTATCTGGCTGCTCCCTTTCAGACGGTTGCATCTGTCTGTGTGACCCCAGACCCTTGGTTTAGGATTCAGGAGGGCTGGGAAAGGTGATGCTGGGAGCCTTTTCATCCCAGCCCAGTTGGCTTGAGAGTCAATGCAGCCCCAAAGAAGATGCACTTACTGTTGCAGGGTGCTCTTCCAGGGAAGTCTCCCAGATGCTGTCCAAGTGTGAAAAGGGATCAGTACAGGATGGAAGGAAGTAATAGCCCTTCCTTCAAGAAGTTTCTAATCTCTTCTTTGGAAGATCAGGATTTGGCTCATAGTCTTATAGATGGGTGATGCCAAAATTCAGCTCTGTTCCTTATTCCTCATCATCCCTCTACCCAGACAGAGAAGAACCACCCCCTCCTTCCCAGGGATTTAGAATCTTATGGGGCTTCTCTCACTCTGAATAATGGTGATTAATTACTGGTGTTGCTTTTTAAATCTTCTGTTTAATTACAATCCTCTTGAGTATTTGGACTAATCTCTCTTAGGTTCTGATGCAGAATTGGAAGGTTGCCAATTCTTGGGCAGCTTTCATGTTTCTGCCTCTTACTCACTCACGGACACAGAGACATGTAATAAATATTGAGTTAGGATCTATATGAGGTTATAGTTTTGTTTTTCTTTTTTTAATCCTCACCCAAGGATATGTTTTCATTGATTTTAGAGAGAGAGAAAGAAGAAGAGAGAGAGGGAGATAGGGAGGGAAGGAGAGAGAGAGAGTAAGGGGAAGAGAAAGAAAGAGAGAGAGAGAGAGAGAGAGAGAGAGAGAGAGAGAGACAGAGAGAGAGAGAGAGATTGCCTCATTACCCGACCCTACTGGGGCTTGAACCTGCAAACTTTTGGTGCATAGGACAACACTCCAACCAACCAAGTCACCCAGTCAAGACGAGGCTGTAGTTTTAATTACTTTAATATGCATGAGTGAGAGACAGGTGAAGACATAATCCCATCCCTGAAGCTCAAATGGCATATGGATCTTAAAAATACTTTCAACTCTTCTAGCCCAGCACAACAGAAAGCCATGGATTCTGAGAGTGTCTAAATGACGCACCTGACGTAAAACACAGAATACTAAGACAGAACTGGGATTTCATCTCAGATCATGGGTTCCTTAAGCTAAAGATGCTCAATTCATGAGATGTTATATTGAATTATTATCAGCAGTGCCTCTGAGTGGTTATTTAGGCAACAAATACTTTATGTTTGTTCCTTTTTTTGTTTAGATGATAAGAAGAGTGTCAGTTAAGAAAATTAAAGTCATGATTAACACATAAGAATTGAAATTTGACTACAGATCTCTATTTTACTGCTGCGATACACTGATGCATGCAATTAATTACACCTTTGATTTGAAGTATTTAAAGAACACATAGAAGCAAGAAATCAACACCTTGTGGAATATTCTTTCCCTACTGGGGATGTGAAAAAATTTTTTAATTTCTATTTAAAATTAGGATTTCAGCTTAAAAAATGAAATCTATTTAATAAGATACAGCAAAAAATAACAATTATCAGATCATACTCTGCCCTTCCAAAAAAAAAAAAATGATGCTAAAAGGTGATACATGCATTTAAAAATGGAAATGAACTATTTAATTAAAAAGCAAAACAGATGATTATGTGGATAACGATAACAGCTGATATCTATAATTTACCCAATTTGGTCCTGAAAATAACTCCATGAAATAGGCAATGTTGTTCCTATACTTCAGATATAAAAACTGAAGCTTAGAAAGTTTAAATAGTAAGACCAATGTGACAGAGATAGAAAGTACTTTAGCAAGAAGTGAGCCCAGACGTGTCTAATTCTAACATCTAATCCTAAGTACTTAACTAACCTCTCATTTACCTACCTAGTAGCCTATATCAATGTTAGAAAACACATATTCCTAACTGCTGGGATATTTTTCAACAACTAACTCAGCCCTAAACTTCTAGTTTTAGGATTTAGGTGTGTTTCGTATGACAAACACACCAGCTAAGTGACATTTTAAAACAAACTCTGTTGACCACTGAGTTTGGCTTTGCTATTAAAAACAAGACAGGCATGTTTACCATAAGCTATTGATTACCTTTGACAGGACCAAGGTTTATCAGCCACAGTGGAAGAAAACATGATAAATTTGTGTGCAAACCGCTTAGCCCTGGATGAGTCAGTAGAGTCTTGAATAACTCCTAAGAGGAACATCTCTGCATTCCTAGCCAACTGTGACAAATCTCCTCTGTGAGTCACTTAAGGATGCTTAAAAGACAGTGGCAGTAGCAAATTTCTCTTATGCTTTTAAATGACAAGTGTCAGACAGGAAACATCTACCGTGTGCCTGACTTTGCCTTCCGTCTCCCTTATTAGTTAACCCCGAAAGTGCAAATATAAACAAATTTAATCCCTAAGGCCGCATCTGAACCAGGAGAAATCTGGAATTCATTGCCAAGTATTTCAGTTCCTGCTGCAGCTGTTACAAGTGTTTGATTTGGCGAGGGAAGAGAAAGGGCGCTGCATACCAATTTCGTGAGCCACAGTGAAAGCTGCGTGGAGGCCATCGTCTTCAATCACAGCACAGCTGCGCTCCGGAGAACATATGGTCCCAACGTCTGCCATTCCCAGGGTGTCACATGAATGATGCCCACATAAATCCTTCCCAGGAGAAAGAAAGAAATCATTAAAATCAATTACCAGCCAGAAGGGTCCACCTTGGAGAACCACTTGCTCACTGCAAAAGGCAGCACGGGGGTATGTTTATGGTATCACCTGTTCGGCTCTGGGAATGTGCCAAAGACAAACCAATGGCATCAACTCTTCTAAGCTTCTCTGAGCCCCAGAGGCACAGAAGGATGAGGGGACTCAATTACATTTAAAAAGATATCGGAGGATGGTAGAATGTCCATTATAGTAACAGCTGGAGCCTTCACAGAGCTGGAGCCCATGTATGCAGACACATATGTCATGGACCATTTTCACATATGGTCATGCTTAGGAAAGCCTTAATAGTCTGACCTAAATGCATGCTAACTTTATCAGAAGCCCCGCCTAATAATGTATTTTCCATCACATGGGGCAAATTGCAACCACATATTTGTGGCAGAATATCAATATATCAGTAATTTGGATAGGATACTAAATTTTAATCTAAAAGCATGATTCCTTGAAAGAGCAACTCTTAACTTTCAAATTGAGTTGTAATTTCACAGGTCATGTCTTCAGAAATGTATGCATTTAATGAAGCATTTCTCAACCAGATCTGTACTCAGAAAATACATGTTATATATTGTGTTTATATAAGTGAGCATATGCATTTTTCTGGTGAGAAGTTGTATATTAAGAGATTCTTAAAGGGGAACATGATCATCCCCCACTAATGGTTACAAGTTATAGATTTAGATAAAAGAGACATCAACAGACAATTGAAAATGGAGAAGTGTAAAGAGAAAATAGAAGCCAATTTTTTTTGCCTGATAGATGTATCATGATAAACTTTCCCTTAAATGCTATTTGAGTATTAATATACATTAGAATTTCTTGTGCTTGCCTATGGTTTTCAATAAAAATTAATTGACAGTGTGCACATTTATATCCAAAAAAGCAAGATAGTATCCTAGTAAGCCATAGGTAAATAACTGGAGAAAAGATTTTTTATAAAATTATTAATTACTATGAAAGATGACAATGTACTAGTTGAAATAACATGCACGGTGTCTAGTACAGCTATCATCTTAGTATCCCCACTACCACAGTGTCTGGCTTATGATAGGAGCTCAACAAACATTTGCTTAATTGAGGTGAATTATGATGTACAGTCAGATGCAATGTAGACCTCACACACCTTTAACAAGCTATACGCTAGCTAAGCTAGTAAGACCTCAATGGACTTCTGGAAGCCAGCACAAGATGTTATTATTACATAACTAATGCCACCTCCTCATTGTCAACATTCTTCTAACTCTTCTCTATTTTGCTGCATAAAAATCCAACCACCGTGAAAAATATTTAAATGATATAGCCTATGATCTCTCTAGTACACTTTCTAGTACATTTTCATTTTTTACTGTGTTCCATGCATTATGAAATCCCAACTGTGATGAATTACACTGTGGCTGCCATCTTATTATAGTTCCAGACAGTGGAAATCTCGGCCAGGGAGGCTTGTTGAATCAAATCACCAAACCAACAGTAGCCTACCAAAGTTTCCTGTGTATCCTTATATGTCATCCTGTGGGATCTCAAATTACAGCTGTTGAAAACAAATTAGTAGTTTTTAAAATTGAAATTGGAACACACTTTTGCATAATAATAAGTCTTAGATTTAATAATATAGTACAATACATTTTTTAATCCACCCCCCCTCAATCCTTTTAGTAGCTTTAAGACCAAAAACCCAGGTTAAGTTTATTTCTGCACACACATACTTTTTAAAACCAAGACTTATGTTTATCTCCACAACTGAGATTCCTTATCTTCAAGTAGAATGTTAAAATTCAATATTGTTTCCCCTTCTTGCCCCGTACTTCATTAACAAGTTTGAAGAGCCACAGCAAATGGAAATGGTCCTCCTGTTCTGAACAAATTTTAATCTGGATTTTTAATTTCTATATGTGTGCTGGTAATCAATTGCTCATTAGAGGCCATCAGTCCTCCTTGTCATTCTTGAATTGCATTAAAAGCATTTGGCCCTTTGCCATGGAAATGTGTGCATGTGACAAAATTATGAACAGAAGCAGCTATTTTTTTTTTAAACACACTGATTAAACCCCTTGATGACATAGTCACACTATATTTCTGTAACTATAATTATGTAAACTGGCAGTCTTTCCATTTAATTCACACAGTTTCAAACACTGGCAGCCCCGTTATGATTTCATCCTCAAGATTCACAGTAAATGCATGTGTTTCTTTGTGATCCAAGGTTCATTCCAATGTATTAAAATTCAACTTGTGCATCAAATTAGTAAGAGTATAGCACATCACACTCACGTCTATTTTTGTGGTGATTTATAGCAATATTTATAGGTGAGAATCTTATTTGAAATTTATAGGAATGTGTGTTATTATTCACAGAAGTAAGAATACTGTTGGGGCAATAGCATTTATCTATCCATTATCTGGATTTGGGGAGGGGATAATGAAGAAATGTGAGTCACATACAGTATTCACACAAGAGATAAATGAATTAAAAGTGCTGACAAGAGTTTTTCTGATTGATTAGTGTAGATATGAAGGTAAATTACATCTTTGTTATGTTAAAGGGGTTCTTTTCATACAGGATCAATATTTTATCACCATGGTGTAAACAGACAGTAATGCAATGGGAGATTTAGTAAAAACTAAAAAGTGAGGGTTGCAAGAGTATGCAGAGATTTAACAAGTGGGCCTGTGGTGTGGCATTGGCCAGGAGATAAGACCGGGACATTGTATATAACTCAAAAATAGAGCTGAAATAGTCAGCAAGACTGATGAAGACTTGACAGGGAGGTCATTGGCATGGCGACCATTCAATGGTTTGGCCATTATGAATATGGCAATATCTGTGACTTATGGAATTTAGAAGAACTACTTGTTCCCCAGACCTATTCCTGCAGTTGGAGTTGGGGACTGGGAGCCAGCAAAGTATAAAACCTTAACAAGCAGATGCCGAGAAGACAGTACAACTTGGGGAATCGTGGTGGTCAGGACTGGGTGAGAAAAATGAACCAAGCCGGTGTGTGAACATTCAAAGTGAAACAAATAACAGGAGATGTAGGATTTCTTGCCTTGCTCAGGAGAGAGGTCTCTTTGTGCTGCTAAGAAAAGGAGCTAAAAGGAAACACATGCTGATAAGAGCACAAATCATCACAACTGCAGTAACAGCAGCCAGGATGAAGGAAGAATACCTTGTAGAAGAGAAAAATAACAGCAGCTTCTGTTTCTATGTAAATCACCACCTGGGAAGGGCAAGTGTGGAGCTCAAGGGGAGGGCATAAAGAAAAGTTCAACTAGCCTCAGATGTCTATCTATCTGTCTACCCAATTCCTATGAAGAGGGATTGATAGAAGATTAGTCTGATGTGGAACATATTTTAGCCATAGTATTACACAAACATACATTTACACACCACAATCCCCCATACCTGTGAATCCAATTCTTGATGTGTCATTTGGCTTTCTGGCTATCCCAATTATAAAGGCCTTGATTTGGATCTCGGTAGAGACTACATTAATTGTGTCTGTTGGTCCACCCATTACAATAACCCATGTTTATACAATCCCTATCCATGCTTCTGATGCAACTAAGTAATACCCCACCCCCACCACACACACACACACACACACACACACGCACACACACACAGAGCCCAGCTGGATTAGAAGCCAAGAGATCCAAGCGCATTTATTCCTCAAACAATTATGGTGTGCCCACAATCTGCCAGACACTGTGCTAGGTGCTGACACTGTGGTACACAATAAAATAAGGGCTGATCCTGACCCTTAAGAAACATGAGGATCTGGTGGCAAAACAGATACACTATGAGAGGAGCAGATTGTGACATGCTGTTATGAATAGATTGTTGAGGGAGTGCAGAAGAGGATTTGGGGGAATCAATAAAGGTATCTGGAAGAAGGTAATTGGATCTTAAGGGATAAACAGACGGCTGACAGTCTCAGAGGAAGGGCACTCTAACAAGGAAAGATTGGTGAATCCATCAGGAGATGGTGAATGGCAGGGTCTGTTTTGGAAATGACAGGAAGTTTGTTGGGGACGGAGTAGACAGGATTTGTTAGATTCAGGGGACTTGGGGAAGCTGGAAAAATAGTCTGGGCCCACCCAGAGTTCCACGTTAGGAAATTTTCCCTGATAAATGTGTAGTAAGAAGAGGGGGGAGAAGGAATGGAGCAAGTTGGGGACTGAGGGAGTAGATGCTTGGAGGAGTCATTTTGGAGAACAGAATGAAAGCTAATTAGAGATAACAAATGGAAGGTCACTGCTTTTTAATTCTAACTCTATTATTAAGAATCATTATGTAAGTCATTTATATGCTTTCAGACAAAGTTCCTTCATCATTAACATAAGGAATTTGGACCAGGTGATCTCTATGGCTTTCCAACTAGACATGTGTTAGTATTCAATGAAAACATTCAATTTATAGATGGAGAAATTAAAGCTCAGGGGCAATAAGTGTTCAAAGTGGGAAGCTTGAGACTAGTGAAGCTGACATTCAACCTATGTCTACAGACTCCAATTCCTGAACCTATTTTGCCATGGTACTGTTAGATCACCATATATGTTATTCTTGACATTACTCTTATTTTTTACATTCATAAATTGTGCTTGGTCAAGCAAATTCCTTTTTTGCAACAGATAATACAGCATAGTCTTTATCTCTATGTTCTGTTTGGTATAATTCAACAATTTAGAGGCATACTAAATATACAAAGTGCACAAAGTTGTTCCAGGAAAGAATATAGAAGTGTGGGATAAGAAAGCAGTGACATCATTAACGTTCCTCTCTCTCTCACCTGCCATATCTGATAGGTCACTGTAAGTCACTGACTCCATCTACCAAAAGTCTCCTGTAACTGTCCTCTCTTTCTCATTCATTCTATTATTCCTTCCTGACTAGACTATCATCCAAGGCTGGTCCCATTGCCTCTTGTAACTTCCCT